ATATGTCCTTCGGTACATGAAGCGCGCTCCGCACAAACCACCACCATACTCTAGACGCAATATGTTGAGTTGAGCTGGTAAAATATCCTAATATCTCGTTCAGAGACACGAAAAATTTATGCTGCCGTCGCCAAAACAGAGCTTCAAGGTAAACTCGCCGGGAAAAACAAATTCCGCGAGAGGTAGCTATCAGCTTTACTCACCGCCGACACCGACCATTGGTCCTGCCCGCCTTCAGTGACAGCCGTCGACAGCGACTTAGAACCGACGGAAGATGGTGTTAATACAGTAATAAATACTTGATTCACCGGCCTATGGGATACATGCGACAGTCTGTTCACCATGATCAGAAGATGCGTCTGAGACGCATCGTTTTGGATCTAGCCAAGGTCAGTACAAGAGAATAAAGTGTGACGTGACCTCCAAGGGATTGGAACGGCTGTCCCGACAATGGCTGAAAGCTTAAATCGGATTCATAGAGTACAATTCGGGATTTATCTGGACGGCCTCTACTTCATGCGTTATTTGAGGATACCAAGAAATTAGAGTCGGGAGAGTAGCAGACAAACGGAAGGGGATCGTCTATCCCTTTCGAAAGCACAGTTCAAGAACTAGGTATTGACCGTAATCTTTTCAGTTTTTTTTATATGCTCCCTAGACTGTTTTCACCAAGGTGTCTGTGCAAAAAAATGTGCAGTTCACGGGCGTCAATCCAGAGTTCCGTCAGAAGCTTGTCGCCAGCAACGATATCAGCCAATTCGCATGGCCACCGTGGATAGATGAGAGAGAGAGAGAAAAGTTCAACCAGACCTCCAATATGGAAGACGGAAGGAGCGGGAGAGGTTGCGCATCTGATGCTGATGTCGGAGTTTGAATCCTCTCTGCTCCCGCTCCCTACTTGACCTCAATCCGAACGGTAGCTCTTCCTCCGGGAACATGTACGATATTCGATTCATTGTGCCTTGAACCGTCGAAAATAATCCCATTGTAGCTGCCCGAAGGGTATTAGCCCCCCCGTGATACACGACAGCGATGCCAGCGCCGAAATCCAAGGTTCCTGCTGCAAAGTCTTCGCATGGATCAAAACCAAAGACGGGGGTCCCCCGCTCTGTCCCGGAGCAGCTGAAGCGGCTCTTCACCACCCTCTGCGCGCAAATCGACGGGGGACACCATTCGAATGCAGTAAAGACGTGTGACAAGAGTGCGTCTCAGTATCTCGTCTTTTCTCGAAGGACTTCTTTTGACGTAGAGATACAGTACTGCGCCTCTCCCCAGCGGACCCCGACGCACTCCAAACGAAGCTGTTCTTGCTGTTGACGACTGACCAGTCAGCAGCGGCGATCACGCTTATCGAGTCTTTGAGTGGAGAGGGGTCGAGCGAGCTACGGTATGCCTTCGAGCGCGCGTACGCATTGTACTGCCTGCACAAGAAAGACGAGGCGCGTGAGGCCCTCTCGCAGGACGCAGGAGGCGTGGACGAGCGGGGTGTACGGCATTTGGAGGCGCAGCTGGTGCGTCAGCGGCGGTCTCGCCCGATCCTTATACTGAAATTCCGTGCAGAACTACCGCGAAGGCACGTACCAAGCGGCGTTCGACATCTATAACGAGCTCCTCGATTCTGCGCCGGTGAGCCTCCTTCGCCGCATCGTAGCGCATAATTTATAACGTCTCCCATTCAGACGGCCGAAGAGCAAGCAGACATCCTCACCAACATCCAAGCGGCGTCGGCGCACCTCGACTTCATCAACACCACCTTCCTGCACTCGCTCGACGTCCTTCCCGCGTCCACGCAGGCCCAGATTGAGGACGCGCCCCCACCGACCGTGGCGGCTGCACATGCACCCGTTGCTGTGGCTCCCGCCCCCGACGCCCAGGTCCCGCCGAAGGAGAAGAAGGTCCGCCTGCCCAAGGGCGTGGTGCTGGGCGTCACGCCACCGCCGGACCCCGAGCGCTGGCTCAAGAAGAGCGAGCGCTCGAACTTTGGGCAGAAGCGCAGGAAGGGCGGTGGAGGCGGGGGCGGTGCGACGCAGGGGAGTGCGGCCGATGTGCCGGTTGCCGTGGAGAGTAAGGGTGGGAATGCGAAAGGGAAGGGGAAGAAGCGGAAGTAGAGCGCTAGCTGTCGAGCGTTAGCTGCTCAACGCCGCTAATTCCAATCTTTAACCATCCAAGCATGTATGCTCAACCAACGCTAGATACCTTCATCCAAAAAAATTCATTCAGCCTTGCCAAACTGTCGAGACCAGCAACCCGCGGGACTGCGCGTCCTTCCCTTGTTCCCGGCCAAAAAAATCTCTGACGCTCTACTGCTGTTCTCCCCGGCATTATCACTTCTTTTTCAGCGACATCCCGGACGAGCAAATTTAAGAGCTTTTCCCCCCTCATCTCAGACGATGTTAAGGGCCTTTCATGTGTGCTACTTGACCTTTATTTACGCCCTGCAGTGCTCATTGCAAGGAGACGCGCTTCATGTGAAGACGCGTTAACGCTCCGGGCAACCAATGCATTCTGTCGCTGATGTGAGGATATGAGTGAGCGACTGTTGCATCCTTGTGTTCCAGCTTGACAACGCCAATAATCTTCATTATATTCTATACATGCCCACGCCACGCACGGACAGACACTTTTTCTGCTGGACTATAGTGCCGTTGAAAACTCGACCGAGTCGAAATTTAGATGTCGAACCCCATTTGTCTGGTAAATCTCTTTTAGGAGAGGATCAGAGAAGATCTCCAAAGTTTTTGATGTGATTGATTGCTGATTTCTCTTCTCACAACTCTCATGTGCCCTCTTTGGTAATTGCGGCTGCCTTATAAGCAAGGGTTCTGCCGATCTGCAGGTACCCTGGCCGGCCCACCACCCCCGCGAACCCTCTGTGAATTGGAACGTGAAGCGCAGGAGTATTTACTCCTAGGGACATGATTGCAACAGAAATCTCACGCTTGTGAGTGTCCTGTCCCACCTTTGGGCAACCCTTCACAGGGGTTATCAATCAGAGCATCCGGACCTCTTCGACCTAAATTCGCCCTCTCTCTCATCCCAGGCGCACTACCCTCTACACCGTCCGATGTCGTCTACCACCTTGTCGCCTTCCGCCAGTGGCGGCTCGTCCGTTAGTCCGTCTGTTACTTCGTCGTCCTCGTCCTCGTCGGCCGGATCTAGCACACAAGGCGCAGGCCCCTCATTCACCGTCTTCCCGGGGCCTTCAGGATCGTCCTGTGCCGACCCTGGGGGCTGCGCTGCCCCTCCACCTGCCACATTATACCGTGCGCCCCTCTTCCGCCGTCTTTGCCCCTGTATTCATGGTATTTTTTTTCCTTGGCAGTGTACACCTTCCTGTCGACGCTTATCCTCCTGCTGCTGGTGAGCGGTGGAATCATCACGCGCTCTGTGGTTCTCCGCCGGCGGCACCTACACGCTGTGGCGAACGGCTGGGTGCCCACACGGCGGCGTGAGAATTACTCCTCACGCACACAACCCGTGATGTTCGAAGTGTTTGTTGCACCAGACGGCAAGAAAGACGAGGAGGGGCGGTGGAGTCGCATGAAGGTGCGTCTCACGCGACCTGCCAAGTTTGGCACTAAATTTGCCCTCCAGCCCTTCTCTGCAGCCGACATCGTACTTCCTGCGAAGGCTTCAGTTCCTCCACCGGCGGAGAACCGTCAGCAGGTCGCCATGGACCGCTCCGCACGCGAACAAATGCAGAGCATCGTACGCTTCGCCTTACGCCATGGTAATCTCCGCCCACCGCCTGCGCCGCCGCCGCCCGTTATCGAACTTGCACCGCCATCATCTCCTACTTCTCCATCCCCAACGCAGGTGCGGGTCGGCTTCCTCGTAGCGATGCCGTCACAAACGGTGCCATCGCAGGACGAGGAAGAGGAGTTACCGTATCTTGAATTCGGCACCCTCGATGTGGGCGTCGTGGATGCTGGGAAAATGTCTGGCACGGACGAGGGTGTGAGCGAGGGCGCCGATTTGGGCTCGAAATCATAACATCGTCGATGTGCCTGGCTTCTTTGACTGTTACCCCCTTGCCTGTGAAAAATATCTGCGCAGGATTACTGTATTTTGTATTTCACGAAAACAACATATCGTAATTAAAGGACGTTCACATATGATGTTTCCTGGACCTGTCGTTTTGGCACAAGTCTTGGATTTGTCCGAGAAGGAACCAAGCATATGTGGTCAGCTACGTTCTAAATATGTGTATTCTGAAACAGGAACCACTAGCAGCAAGGTGTTTGATACATCACGTCGGGAATAGACTACATTTCAGGGCCCCCGAGTCGTAGCGAAAAGAAAAAAAGGAACCGATGCTGCACTTTATTCGGACGCGGGGAGTCGAACCCCGAACTCTCATTATATTTTCACGTAACGAACAAGTCACGGTCAGCGAGGGTGTACCGTACACCACGTCCAAGTTATTATCATGCCAGTGCCCGGCGCTAGCTAGGAAATTTAATTCGAGGTGCAGGAGAAGGGTCGTACGGAACTGAGTTCAAGAAGTTCAAGTTTGGATTCCGCTGGGGGCTAACAGATAAACTGAGGGTGCGTCAGTCACCTGGCATACAACATAGCAGTTACTAAAATAAATCTATCGTTGACCATGTATCACCCGCATTTGAAGAGAGCAGTGAGAACAAAAAAGAGCTACCTCTCTCGAACAGATCTCGAACACGGGGAGTCGAACCCCGGATGCTGGCTAAATTTACCCGGAAACAGATGAATGAAAGCCAGGGTGTACCGTACACCACGCTCGAGTTCGTCGTAGAAGTGCATGATTTAATTCGAGATGTAGGCGAAAAAGAGGAGTCGCCGTAGGGTGAAACGTACCTCGTTCGCTCGCTGTATTTGATTTTCGGAGCAAAGAGTTTATTGCGCGAGGCTCACGTCCAAGTTATCGTCCTGCAAGTGCCCTTAGACTGCTCTGCTCGACATATGAATTTACAGTGGTAAAGACTCAAAAAAGAAAAGATAAAAAAAGGCTTTGACGACGGGGACTTGAACGCGGGGAATCGAACCCCGGATGCTGGCTAAACTTATTTTCACAATCATAAATGAAATCCAGTACGCCACGCTCGAGTTCGGCGTAGAAGTGCATGATTTTATTCGAGATGCAGGCCATAAAAGGGGAGTTATCGTAGAGTGGCGCGGGAAGTCGAACGCAAATAGCTCTCTCGCTCGCTGGATTTAATTTTCGGCGCAAATAGTTTATTGAGCGAGGGTCACGTCCAAGTTATCGTACTGCAAGTGCCCTGCTCTGCTTGACGTATGAATGTATAGTAGTAAATACTCAAAAAAAAAAGAAAGAAAAAATCAAATTGGCTACCGGAAATTCGGACGCAGGGAGTCGAACCCGGGATACTGGCTAAACTTATTTTCACAATCCTGAATGAAAGCCAGGGTGTACCGTACACCACGCCCGAGTTCTTATCATACAGGTACCCAGCGCTAGCTAGGAAATTTAATTCGAGGTGCAGGAGAAGGGTCCCACGGAACGCAAGTTCAAGAAATTCAAGTTTGGATTCCGCTGGGACTAACAAATAAACTGAGAGTGCGCAATTGGTATACAGCAGTCATTCAAATCCATCTACATTTATCACTCGCTTTTGAAGAGAGCAGTGGGAACAAAAAAGAGTCACTCTCTCTAACGGATCTCGAACGCGGGGAGTCGAACCCCGGACGCTGGCTACACTTACCGTGAATGATATGAATAGAAAACCAGGGTGTACCGTACACCACGCTCGAGTTCATCGTACAAGTGCATGATTTAAATCGAGATGCAGGCAAAAAAAAAAAGAGGCATAACGAGTCGGACGTGGCAGTCAACTTGAGAATTACTTCGCTCGCTGTATTTAATTTCCGGCGCGAAGAGTTTATTGACCGTCGGGTACACCATTTCCGAGTTATTCTGCCCTGCCCTGCTCGACGTATGAATTTCCAGTAGTAGACACTCGAAAAAAAAAACAGATTGATCAACACCGATGATTCGGACGCGGGGAGTCGAACCCCGGGTGTTGGCTACATTTATTTTCAAGATCCACGAATAGAAAACCAGGGTGTACCGTACACCACGGCCGAGTTCTTATCACACACGTGCCCAGTGCTAGCTATGAAATTTAATTCGAGGTGCAGCAGAATGGTCCTGGGTTGTACGGATCGCAAGTTTGGATTCCGCTGGGGGCTAACAAATAAACTGAGGGTGCACCACTGGCATACAGCAGTCATTAAAATACATCTACCGTTGACCATGTATCATCCGCACTTGGGGAGAGCAGTGGGAACAAAAAGGTGTACCAAGTGGGAACATCTCGAACGCGGGGAGTCGAACCCCGGATGCTGGCTACATTTATCTAACCGATGAATAGAAAGCCAGGGTGTACCGTACACCACGCTCGAGTTCTTATCATACAGGTGCCCAGCGCTAGCTAGGAAATTTAATTCAAGGTGTAGGAGAAGTGTCCCACGGAACGCAAGTTCAAAAAGTTCAAGTTTGGATTCCGCTGGGGCCTAACAAATAAACCGAGGGTGCGCAATTGGTATACAGCAATCATGTAAATGCATCTACATTTATCACCCGCTTTTGAAGAGAGCAGTGGGAACAAAAAAGAGCTACACTTTCTAACGGATCTCGAACGCGGGGAGTCGAACCCCGGACGCTGGCTAAACTTATATTTACCACCATGAATGAAAGCCAGGGTGTACCATACACCACGCTCGAGTTCATCACACCAGTGCATAATTTAATTCGAGATGCAGGCAAAAAAAAGAGGCGGAGTCGCACGCGGGAAGTTAAACGTAAATACCTCTCGCTCGCTGGATTTTATTTTCGCTGCAAAGAGTTCATTGAGTGAGAATTTTGGGTACAATCACGTCCAAGTTATGCGCCCTGCTCGGCGTATAAATTTGCTTAGAGGAGTAAATACGCAAAAAAAACAACAACATTGGTCATCCACGATTCGGACGCGGGGAGTCGAACCCCGGACTCTCGCTGCATTGACATGACCGCAGAAACATGAAAAGCGAGGGTGCACCGTGCACCACGTCCGAACTGGATGCGTAGGGCGGTAACACGATATGAGCTAGACCTTGAGAAAGAGGAGAGGAAGCCAGAAAGGCGAAAAAAAGTTTGAAAGAGGGAAGACGCCGGGAGTGCTTTATGCCCGGGGCAAAAAGGAAGAATACCCGGCGCGGCCAGCAGGAAGACCCGGTTTGAAAGCACTTAACTGAGAGTAGGCGACCACACGGACTCGCAAAAATCTCTGTGGCAGTCGACATTTGCTGGAACAAACTGCGTACGCTTGCGCATCGGAGTACGGATAGATTTTGGCTTCGTCCGAAGAGACTTGCGTAGGCCGCAGTGATCGCAAGCAGCCGTTGAAGGCGAGGAAAGGAAGTATTGGCTTTGAATGAGACCGATTATTTGAGAGAATCGCGGCGAAGGTTCCGCGGCGGGGTAGTTTGAGTGCAAATGGGGAGGTAAATCCCAATGTCGGGGACGAGATGAGAGCGAGATAACATGGGGAAATAGCACCGTTGACGACTCGGAGTAGCGAGGTGATTGCTTGCGGGCATTCACGGAGCCCGTGTTCTTGATGAGTCGGACCAAGCCGGATGACATGAGGCATTGATCCGCCACCAACACAATCTCCGGCTCTTTACCCCGTCCTTCATGCATACTTTGCGCGACCTAGTCCTGAAATGCACCTCAATTCAGTTTCCTCGCTCTCCTCTCATGTGCCTCCTCCCTTGACTCTAACCCTTCCCACAATTCGTCATTGACTCATTCATCGAATATCCAGTACAACTACATCGCCATGCGGGCAATTGTGAATCGGTGGCATCCCAGCCCCCGTTTTAAACTTGGGCCACATGAAATCCCTTTCGACTGATGTGTTGATTTCGGCTCAATCCCAGATCCTCAGTTTTGATTCCATCCTCCTTACCAGCACCTCCTGTAGAGTCTAGCATCTCGAGCAACGGTCTTCGCGTGGATTTGAGCGGCGGTAAGTAAATATTAGGCCTCTGGGTCATCACACATACTAATTTGTCCTTCAGACCATGCCTCTACAGGCGGTGCATCGCCCTCTCCCTTCTTTTTGTGCTTGTGCGTCAGCTTGGGTCAGGGTGTCGACGCTCCCCTCACCCCGCCGTGCTGCATCATTTCAGAGTCCAGTAACTCCGCCCACCATCTGCGCTGTACGCTTCCTCCTTCTGCATCACCTCCCCGTCGTCCTGAACGGTTCGATGGAAGATCGGAAGCTCAAGTCGGCGTCAACCAGCTCATGCGTCAACGTAGCCAGCGGAAGCCACCGTGGCGTCAGCCCGCGCAAGACATGCAGTCGGGGGAGAATCTCGTCGCCAGCTACGCGTCCTGGCTCCCTGTCGACATCGGCTCCCGCACCCCACATCGCTTAGGATCACGACGAATCGCACTGAGAAGGAGGCCGGGCAGCGGTAGCCGCCGGACGTCACTCTCCCTCTTCGTGTACCGCCGGTCACACATCTTCATGGAGGCCCTTCGTGTCATGCTCCTCCCCTGGCCCTCCTCTGCCTGTTTCTCCCGCCGTCCCGACCCTCGCCCATTCTTGTCGGCGTCTGCAGATGTGCGGCCGCGCGGCGCGGGTGCTCCACGCATCCGCGCGCGGGGATATGGAATGCTGTTTTGAGACACGCCTAGTGTTGTTTGATGACAATGACAAAGAATGTTCAATATCCAGTCTGTCGAATTTGGCGGTATTCATAGTATGAGTTGAACTTTTCGAACAAATTCACCACATTGATTGGCAGCCTCGTGTTTTGTGCTAAATTCAGCGAGTCCGGCGCCAAATGAGGTGACGGTAAACAGGCACATACTGATACTGGCGCTAACAGGTTTACCCACCACCGCTATGACCCATCACTACGAGCATCTCATTCTACTCAACGATGTGCCCGATGTTTTCTTCCAAGCGCAGACGACTCGATTTGGAATGACCAGACAGACCGTTACTGCGGAATCCTCGATGCTAGCAGAGAACACTTCATCTGATAACGACGGCCCACCGGTCATTGAGTTGGATGAGGACCCTGACAAGCTGCAACCCTTCTTCCGGATTCTGGGCAATGATGAGTGCGTTGCTTCCAACTTCCCTTTGGCCCCGGTTTGACGCACAATTATTTGACAGATCATTATCTGGGTTTTTACGCACATCTAGCGCTGGCTTCCGTCCCCGTGAATTAGCTGTCCTCCTCGAGATGAGCACCAAATACGGGGCAAAACGGATCCGCGCCCACACCATTGCCTTACTCTCAATCACATTTCCGACGACTCTTGTAACATTTCCCAAACAACGCACCTACTTCAGGCTCAGGAGACAGGATGAATATGCACAGGACCGCTTCGAAACCCTTCCATCGATAAACGCATTCGAGGCGTTTTTGGCCCTATCGGCCGCACAAAAGGCAAATGCATGGCCACTCGTTCTCAGTGTTCTGTACCGTTGTGCCACATCCCTCTCCCCCGACAAAATCATTTCGCCCGCGAAAGACCCAGAGGGCCATGGGACGGTCTGCCTCTCACCTCAGGATCAGCGCATCTGTCTGTCTGGCCGACAGCGTTGTCTAGACCATATAGTGCAATTCATGACCTTCTGCGTCGAAGGCCAACTTGAAGATACTGCATGTTGGGAGGACGAATGCATCCGACAGAAGTTGAAAGAATTCAACCGTCTTCGGATGATTAAAAATCCCGACCTACTTGCTTTCCAATGGAACGCCCACGACACATGGAATATATCTCCTGATGCCTGCTACGAGCGTGCCATGACGGAGTGGAACCGTGCGCGATTGTTCTTTTGGAACAGAATCCCTGAGTTCTTCGGGATGGCGCCTTGGTGGATCCTGCGCGACCAGACTCTCGAAAACCCGCACAACTCGGTGAATCTCTTCCCATCTGTCCAGTCGAATAATATCCCCGTGGAAATAGTTGACTATGTTTTCCGGACACACATTGCGTCCCATCCATCCGCTGCGCGTTCCATGCGTTTGATATCACGGGATATCAACACCACCGCGACCAACGAACTATACAGGACCGTCACGCTGCGCAATGCAAACAATGGGGTCTCCCCATTTTGGCATCTCGCCACTATCTTAAGCAAAAAACAATTGCCTATCCGAAATTTGGATCTCCTTGGATTGACTTTCTGCGGTCACAGTAGCGCCAGGTACTGCTTCAATCTTCCAGACGTATCTTCTGCGATGTGGAACTTCTTGGATCAAGGAACTCTTCAAAACCTGCTGATTTCTAACCTCCTATTTGTTTCTACCATTCGCCACCGTCCGAACAACAACAGCTGGCCCAAAATGTCGACCTCCCTCCGCATGGTTCTGGATTGCCATGCAGATCGCTACGAGCCAGACTTCGACAGTCCGTTCCATTACTCCCCCCATAATTTCACCCGTATGGGGGTTCTCGACTCTATAGCCGGCAGGATCACCCACCTTCACATTGTCCATGGAGTTTCGGATGATGCGCCATTTGAGCGAACGTTCGCCTTTACTATGTTCCCCCAGCTAACACATTTCGCCTGCCCTGCATTGGACGACGAAGCTCGGTTTGGTGATGCTGGATATGTCTTCCCTCCCCGGATGCAGATGCTCGTGATACTTTCTGGATGCGACGACATCGACGCGGTAGAAAACAGCGAGGAGGGTGCTAGGTTGCGGAGGTTGAGAACCGTTGACGCCCGAGTATACGTAGCGCT